GGCCCCGCGCCCGGCCCGCTCTGCAGCCCGCTGCAGGCTGCGCTGCCCCGGGGCTCCTTCCTGCTGTACCCAACAATAAAAGCAGTTTTGCGGTTCTACACGCTGCCGTACTCTTTCTCGCACACACCGCGCCCCACGGCCCCTCCAGCTCGGCCCTTCTGGTTGGGGCCTCACGGGCTTGTGCCCGGCAGGGTTCAGGCAGCAGCCCTGTCCTCTCACTGGTGCCTGCCAGGGGCACGCCTGCTGTTGTCACAACCAGCAGCCTCTCAGGGTTGCCAATTAATCCCTAGGGTGGGGAGGTCAAAAAAAATCACACTGGTTAGGAACCACTGAGCATCACTGACTTCCACTGGTGAGAAACAGACTGAGTCTCCCAAAATGTGCAGTCTTATGTGTATCAGATATACACAGTTTAACAACATGAGGTGGGGTGTGCTTGCAAAAAATATTTCCACCTTGTAGGGGATTAAAAAAATATTTCCACCAATTTTATGTAGAGTGCTTTAGGTTGTGAATCATTCCTGTTATCTGACCTTACTAATAATCAGAAAACGCCAAACTGTTAAAAAGGAACTGTTACAAACCTTTCAAATTTGGCAAAACGAAAATAATCCCAAGTGCTGGTAAAGGGGCATGTAGTTGGAAACCCCAGGTAGTGCTGTAAAAGCAAATAGTCTGGCCACTCTGCGGCAGCATCTGGGAAGTGTCTCCTAGAGGAAAGGGTGACTATCAGAAATTTTTGTGCACACAGACATCAGTGAGTGTGTTCTTTGTAGTACTCCTCATCATAGCAGAGATCAGGAACAACCTAAATGTCCATCAGTAGGGGAATGGATAAAGAAAGTTGGGAATACTATTCTACAGATTAAAGGAAAATTTTAATTCCAAGGTTTCTAAAGTACAGCAAGTCAGGCCAGATAATTCTAGATTATGTGGATACTCTGCACAGTAGGATGTCAGCAAGCTTGGCTTCTGCTCACGAGTTATCATTAGTACTACCTCCACTTGTGACCATCAAAAATGTCCCAGGCCTCACCAAATATCCCCTGACGGACAAAAATCACACACACACGCACACACACGTGCAAACCACTGATCTAGAACTGCCTATTTTTAAGTAAAACTACACATCTTAAAGTATACCAACAAGTGAAAAAGATAGTATGTGGAATATTATGTGTATCACATGCCATCTACATGAATTAACAAACACAATACACTATTCTGAGCATAATAGAAGAGGCCGAAACCAGGTGCTGTGTCATTTAGAATCTTCAGCCTGCACTGTTCTTTCCATCTAAACCCTCTTCACATGACTCCAGGCATGCCTTTCACGGTAATCTCCATCAGAGAGAGTCAAAGAATACAACTATAAGTAAAGCAAATTCCCTTTCTCATGGAGCTTGCTTTCCACAGGGGTGGAGACAGAAAATAGACAAGTAAATGAGGAAGAGTCCTATAAAGGAAAATAAAACAGTAGAGGGATGCAGACAGTTCCATCAACACACCTGTGCCCCAGTTGCTGTCCTCTGTCCCCATTCCCATGGAACTACATGACTCTTTATCATGAATTCAAGTTCAGTAAGTCCCCAACTTACAAACGAGTTCTGTTCTGGGAGAAGTGTTTGTAAATCAGATTACAAATTGCTGTAATCTGTAATTCGTTCATAAGCCAACAAAGTGACTTACATAGTACACATGTGAAAGTTCACAATTTAAATGTTTGTAAAGTTGGGGACTTACTGTTCTGTGAATTTATCCAATGCCACTAGCACATGTAATTGGGGAAAACCAAAAGTTGCCTCCGGACAGTTCCACACATCTTTGGGAGTGGGAAAATCTCACTAAATCAAGCACACAGAAATCTCTCTGTATTAGCTTAGTGACACTTTGTAAATCTAAATCTTTTTCCAAATTAAATACACACACACACACACACAAGCACAGGAACAAAGTAGTTATTTTTTTCCCCCTTTTTTCTAGTACCAGGAATCAAACTCAAGACCTTGTGCTTGCCGGGCAGGCACTGTGCCGCTGAGCTAAATCTCCAGCCCCCAAAGTAGTTATTTTAAAAGTTATCTGGGTACAATAAAATTATCTCAAGATAAAAACTGGGCAATGTTAAAAACAGTTCTCACTAACTTCATTGATAAAGAGATAACAGATACATACTTAAAAAATAAGAAAAACTTGTATTCAAGTGCAAAATATTGGCACCCATCAGCAGAAGGATGGTCTTAATAATTACTTTAAATGTCTAAAAGTTAGCTTTGGTACATACTCAAATGTAGACAGTGTGTAATAGAAAGCCTCTCACTGTCTTAGAGTCCTAAGAAGCACTATGTCAACCAGGTGTAGTGATGCAGGCCTATAATCCCAGCTACTCAGAAAGCTGAGGCAGAATTACAAGAGAGAGACCAGAGACAAACACACACATACATACATACACACACACACACACACACAGACCCTTCTTGTCTCTTGCCATATAATGTCCTGTACCACATTGGGAC